TTAATGCCAGGAGCTCACAGAGTAGCATTTCTGCTCACCAGACTCCACAGAGCACCGCACGGAACTGGTTTCCGCTTTAGAATCCAGGTTTTCTTGGAGCCAAGGGAGAACCTCTCTCCTCAGAAACGCCCCAGATCGGAGAGTCCGGGGCCCCCTTCCGCCCAGGCAGAGGCTCCGGGGCCGTTTTGGGCCTGACCGACTTCCACGCTGGGGCACTTCTGCCGCGCTGGCCTGGCGACCCGGAGCGGCGCCTATGGCTGCCCTCCTGCTGCTCTTCTGCTTCCTCGGCCCCCCCTCCGCCGCCGGCCTTCAGCAGCCTCCCCCTTGCTGCGGCCAGGAAGCGCACGGCAACGCTGCCCCCCCCCCGCACGCGCACACACACACTGCCTCTCTGTCCCAGCAGGCCCTCTCTGCAAACAGCTCTCTCGGCTGCAAAAATGACTCTGGTCAGCTGGAGGGAGGGAGGGGGACCGCTCCAGCCCGCTTCTCGCAATGTTCCCTCTGAGCTGAGTCAGTGTGAGCTAGCTCACAGTTTTGTAGCCTCCGGCTCGCCCATCTTGGTCCAAGCTCAGGAAGGCGGGCTCCAGAGCAAGCTAATTTAGGCAGTAGGCATAAATCACCCGCCCACAACTTTGATGCCAGTAGTAGCTCACAAAGTAGAGTTTTTGCTCACAAGACTCCACAGCTTAGAGGGAGCCTTGGTGGGACTCTGGAGGGCGACACAGCATCGGCTTTCCCCTCCGTTGCTCTACGAAGCCCACGCTGGGACAGAAATTCCTCTCTGCACGGCATGCCACTTTCGCTTCCTTTGATTGTCAGATTTTATGGCAGCCTCCACAGCTGCATGCCGCTTTCGCTTTCTTTGGTCATCGGGTTTTATGGTACCTTCTGCATAGATCTATGGCCGTTCAGGGGTGACTTCGCAGACAGTAGGGCGTTGGCCCAGGGTATTCGAATGTGGTTTAGAGCAGCACTTTTCCCTCCCGGTTGAGAAGATGGGAAGCGAATGCTGGATGCAGAATCGCCTGCAAAGCAGCCATGTCTGGTCAGTGTCACCTTCCGGCTGCGGGGAGAGTCTCCGGGGATGGAAGGTCTCACGTCCACACAAAGCAGTTCCCCCCACACACAGAAAGGTAAGCCAGGGCTACAGTTTGGGGGGGGGCTACAGTGGGGGGGCTTCTAATGCCCTGACCCCACTCATAGACCTCCTGAGGGCACCTGATGTGTGACACAGAAGAGTGTTGGACTGGGTGGGCCACTGGCCTGATCCAACACTGGCTTATCTTATGTTCTTATAAAAGGGAATCAGATAAGCATATGGAGCAGAGGTCCCTCAGGGGCTATTAGCCACAAGTAGGGGTGTGCAAAAAAATAATAAATCAGCCTGCTTTGGATTTGGCAGAATGCGGCAAAATCAATTTCGGCTGGCAGAAAGACTCCCGCATGTCAGTTTCGGCAGTACCAGCCCATTGGGGAATCTTTTGGCCAGCCGAATGTCAATTTCGGCCCCATTATATCCTATGGGCCATTGAAGTCAATGGCAAAAACATAGGGTATATTCTGGGGGCTGGAGGGGAGGGGGTTTGAGGGAGAGGCTCCAATCTCACAGGGTAGCTGCTGGAGCCTCTCCCCAAGATACCCACCAAGTTTCAAGAACATTGTACCAGGGGGACCAAACAGGTTACTCCAATCCCCTCCATTATTCTCTATGGTGGGGGGGAAGTTGCTGGACCTCCTGAGGGCCCCTGGTATTTCTGTCCACTGTGTGACACAGAGAGTTGGACTGGAGGGGCCCTTGGCCTGATCCAACATTGGCTTCTCTTCTGTTCTTATGTCTGGGGCAAGAGATGCTCTGTATTCTTGGTGCTTGGGGGGGCAACATAGGGAGGGCTTCTGGTGTCCTGGCCCCACTGGTGGACCTCCTGAAAGCCTGTGGCATTTCTGGCCACTGTGTGACACAGAGTGTTGGACTGGATGGGCCGTTGGCCTGATCCAACATTGGCGTCTCTTAGGTCCTGTGGCATTTCTGGCCACTGTGTGACACAGAGTGTTGGACTGGATGGGCCGTTGGCCTGATCCAACATTGGCTTCTCTTCTGTTCTTATGTCTGGGGCAAGAGATGCTCTGTATTCTTGGTGCTTGGGGGGGCAACATAGGGAGGGCTTCTGGTGTCCTGGCCCCACTGGTGGACCTCCTGAAAGCCTGTGGCATTTCTGGCCACTGTGTGACACAGAGCGTTGGACTGGAAGGGCCACTGGCCTGATCCGACATGGGCTTCTCTGTTGTGTTCTTATGTTCAGAGCCCTTCTCCCCGGTGCCCTGCACGGTTATGGAGCAGCACTCACCCAAGGGATGGGCCTAGGGTTGCCAATCTCTCCTGGAGTTAACCTGGCACAACAGTCTCCAGGCTGCAGACATCAGTTCCCCGGGACCGAAACGGCCACTTCAGAGGCTGGACTCTGGGGGGGGGGGGGGTTGGTCGGGGGGGGGGGGGTATCGCGTCCCTACTGATGTTTCCTCCCCCCCCACACACTCCAAACTCTGCTCTTTGCAAGCTCTGCTCCCTCCCAAATCTCCAGGAATTCCCCTGACTGGAGTTGGCAACCCTAGCCTGCAATATGAAGGGCTGTGGTCCAGCCATGGCCAGATTCGGCACTCAGTCGAGAATGGGGGGGGGTGCTTAACCCCTTCCCCTACAGCCATTTTTCATTTACAATCCCCCTTCCCGGCTGTTTTTCCATCCTCGAGAGAATCAGGCCCGTAGCCACAGTGGGGACATCTCGGGGCTAGGCCCCCTGGCTTACTGGCAAGGCCCCCATGACTTCCCATCCGGCCCAGGGGCCCTGAGCAGTGTTCCCCCTAAGCTGAGCTAGTGTGAGCTAGCTCACCGTTCTTTAGCTTCCGGCTCACAGGTTTTTGTCCTAGCTCAGGAAGGATGTGGCTCCAGGGCAAACTAATTTTATGCGGTAGCCGAATGACTCACTCACAACTTTAATGCCAGTAGAATTTTTGGTCACAAGACTCCAAGGCTTAGAGGGAGCGTTGCCCCCATGCAGTGGCAGGTGCAGGGAAGGAGACAGGTGTTCCTTTTGTTCAATACATGGAGCAGATCCATTCTCTCTTGCTCCGGATTGCAAGACTAGATCTAATGGGTGGGAATTACAAGGGAGTCGATATACCGGCTAAATATCAGGAGAAACTTCCCTAACTGTCAGAGTGGTTGAGCAGTGGAATGGGCTGCCTCGGGAGGTGGTGGAGGCTCCTTCGCTGGACGTTTCCAAGCGGAGGCTGGATGACCATCTTTTGGGGATGTTGTAGAGAGAGGGCTGGAATCCCAGTCTTATGAGGAAAGAGTTGGGTATGTAAGAGAAGGCTTAGAGGGGACAGGATTACAGTCTTCAAGTATCTGAAGGGCTGTCATGTAGAAGATGGAGCAGATCTATTCTCTCTGGCTCCGGATTGCAAGACCAGATCTAATGTGTGGGAATTACAAGGGAGTCATTGCCGGCTAAATGTCAGGAGAAATGTCCTGTCAGAGTGGTTGAGCAGTGGAATGGGCTGCCTCGGGAGGTGGTGGGTGCTCCTTCGCTTGACGTTTGCAAGTGGAGGCTGGATGACCATCTTCCAGGTATGTTGTAGGGCTCTCTTTTGGCTGTGCTCCTGCAGAGTGCAGAGGGGGGTTGGACTAGGTGACCTGTAAGGTCCCTTCCAATTCTAACATTCTATGATTCTAAGTCTTATGAGGAAAGGCCGAAAGAGCTGGGTATGTTTAGCCTGCCTGGGAAAGAGAAGGCTTAGAGGGGACACGATTGCAGTCTTCAAGTATCTGAAGGGCTGCCATGTAGAAGATGGAGCAGATCTATTCTCTCTTGCTCCGGATTGCAAGACCAGATCTAGTGGGTGGGAATTACAAGGGAGTCCTTACCGGCTAAATATCAGGAGACACTTCCCTAACAGAGTGGTTGAGCAGTGGAACGGGCTGCTTCGGGAGGTGGTGGATGCTCCTTTGCTGAACGTTTCCAAGCGGAGGCTGGACGACCCTCTTTCGGATGTGTTGTAGGGCTCTCTTTCGGCTGTGTTCCTGCAGAGTGCAGGGGGTTGGACTAGATGACCTGCGAGGTACCTTCCCACTCTTAACATTCTATGACTCTATGATAATTAGCCAGTGCCCCCTAAGAAATTTAAATGCCCCCCAACTGAAGGAAATCCTGGCTACGGGCCTGGAGAGAATGGTTCCCAGTATCCGAAATCCTTAGAGAGCGGGGAGAGATCTGGCAAGAGGGAGGAGAACCTGTGAGCTGTGGGGCTCCCCCCCCCCACACACACACCAATCCGGTGCTCTGCTGGCTTCAGCATGAAGCTCTGAGTGCACGTTCGGCTCACACACCCACACCCATCCCCGCAACTGCAGCGGTTTCCCTTCAGGCTTCCGCATGACCGTCTGCCGCCTTCCGGGTTTCCACCGGCTCCTCTCTGCAGTTTCCCAAACCTGCTTTGGCACAACTTTCCCTTAACCTGTGTTCGGGAAGAGGCGGACCAAAAGACGCAGGCTGAGGAACAACTGTCAGCTTCTTACGGAATCGTCGGCAGCAGACGTGTTGCGATTGTGCCCAAACATGCTAACCGTAGAGAGACGGACCAGTTCCCCAGAGGCAAGTGTGGGGGAACGGCAGCCACGAGGGGGAAAGAACAGAGAGAAATCCTGTTTCAGAAGCTGACTGGGAGCCACAAATGGCCTTCTGCATTCGGGGCGGCAATGGGGTCCAGGTGGGGCAGCCCCCCTGGGTGGAAGCCATCTCCCTCCAAGCAACGTCACCCCCCAAGCCTCCTTCCACCGCCCCCCCGAAGGGTTCTCAAGGCAAGAGGCATTCAGACGTCGCTGCGTAGCAACCCTGCCCCTTCCTTGGTGGTGTCGGCCAAGCACAAGTTTATACAAGCACACGCCTGAGCCTGCATTTGGGACTGGGAGTCCAACGCAGGGAGCAGAGATCACAATCCCGAGACGTTCCCGAGAGTCTTTTCTCCCCAAGCTGGGTGAAGCTCCGGCCAGAAGGCCCTCTCAGCGGCAGACAAGGGTGGTGGGCACTAATCAGGCTTCCAGTACAGCCGCCCCCACCCCCCGCCCCGAGCTGTCCTGGAAACAAGCCACATGGAGGGCAGGAACATAGGAGCGCACTCTTAACTGCCCCACAAACACCCCCCAAGCGCAGCCTCCCCTCTGTCCCTTTGTGGCCCCTTGAGCAACACCCGTAGGTTCCGATTCCAAAGGTCACGGGAACATCCAACGGCCTTTGGCCCCAGCACGAAATATCCCAGGAACGGACGCGCAGGCCAGGAAGTTCCCCTCCGTGCTGCGTGAGAGTCCGCGTGGCACCTGTTGGCACCCCTTGGCACACTCGACGGTCCTACTGCCCGGCCGGGTCGCTCATCACCGCGTCTCTCCCGCTCCCAGCACGGCCAGCGGCTCAACGGCCACCCGTTCCAGCTTGATGGAGGTGGGCGGGGAAGGGGTCCCCGGAATCCCGTTGCAGGGGGTCTCCACGTCCAGAGGGTCCCCCCCGGCCGACCTGGCCTGGTCGCTCAGCAGCTTGACCAGGAAGTTGATGTACTTCATGGCCAGGCGGAGGATCTCGTTCTTGCTCAGCTTCTTGTCCGGCGGGTGCGTGGGGATGAGCTTGCGGAGCTCGGCAAAGGCCCCGTTCACGTTCTGCTGGCGCCAGCGCTCCCGGCTGTTGGTGAAGACCCGGCGCGCCACCTTCTGGGGCTGCAGACCTGAGCAGACGACAGGGGAGAGGGAGGATTGGGCAGGAGGCATTCACAGGGGGGAAGAGAAACCGAAGTGGTAAAGAGAAACTCCATCTGCCCGAGGATGGGCGAGCGGGCGACAACGTGGCAAATGGGGTTCAGTGTGGCCAAGTGCAAAGTGATGCACATGGGAGCCAAAAGTCCTAAATATAAATACACGTTGATGGGGTCCGAACTGGCAGAGACTGACCAAGAGAGAGATCTTGGAGTCGTAGTAGACAGGGGTCATTTCCTGCAGGAGCGCACAGGAGCGGAGCTCCGGCAGTAAAGAGCCCAGGGGGCGGGCACATGCCACAAGCCCCGCCCCCTGCTCCCAGCAGCCCTCAGTCAGAGCAAGAAGCAGCCAGGTAAGTTGCAGAGCCCCCCCCAGCCCGCCTTCAGGTACAAGGTCTCCCTCCTCTGTGAGGGCAGATCTGCATGTGTCCCCCCCCTCAATAGCTAGCCATCCAAAACAGTCCAGTGGAGCCTGAGCGGTGGGTGTTGCCTTCTGACACACTTTCGGCGATGTCAGGGGGTGTGGCATATGCAAATAAGTAATGCTAATAAGTTATGCTAATAAGCTCCTGGACCTTTTTCTACGAAATGACCCCTGGTAGTAGATAACTCACTTAGAATGTCGAGACAGTGTGCAACCGCAATAAAGAAGGCCAATGCTATGCTGGGGATTACTAGGAACGGAACTGAAAACAAATCAGCCAGTATCACAATGCCCTTGTATAAATCGATGGTACGTTCTCATTTGGAGTACTGTGTACAGTTCTGGTCACCACACCTCAAAAAAAATATTATAGCATTGGGAAAAGTGCAGAAAAGGGCAACTGGAATGATAAAAGGGTTGGAACCAGTGTTCCCTCTAAACTGAGTTAGTGTGAGTTAGCTCACAGTATTTTAGCCTCCGGCTCACACATTTTTGTCTTGGCTCAGGAAGGATGGCTCCAGAGCAAACTCATTTATGCAGTAGCCAAATTGCTCGCTCACCACTTTAATGCCAGTCGCTCACAAAGTAGAATTTTTGCTCACAAGACTCCAGAGCTTAGAGGGAGCATTTGCTCCAACCCCTCGATGATTTCGGTTGCTCTTTCCTGTGCTTTCCCCAGCTCTTCCCTTGAAAAGCCCACCAGGGGTCACCATGAGTTGGCTGTGACTTGATGTGTGTGTGTATAAAATTATATATAATTCTGTTTTCAAGTGGCAATGTTCCATGCGCTCCCAAATCAGTTGGATCCCTGAGCTGTCACTCCGAAGGTGACCGAATCCATTGGCCCACAGCAGCAGCGGCCAGCATCTCAGGCTCAGTATGCTGGGAGCCGAGGGAAGCGACGGACGCTCCTGTGGGCGGAGGCTGAGAAGGCCGAGGCCGACGATGGCGGCGCTGCGCTGGTTGTCGTTGGCCGCAGAAGGGAGCACGTAGCCAGCCGAGCTGTGAGCCTGTAGAAGCGCCGCCCAGCATCTCAGCCTCACTGTGTGCGGAGGTGAAGGACGGGCCAGATGCTCTGGCAGGTGGAGGGTGAGGAGGCCGCAGCTGAGGCCGACCATGGCATCCCCGCAGTGGGCATCGTTGGCCATGGCTGAGTGCAGTTGGCTAGGTGGCCTGCAGGCAGACAGGGGCCAGCACTGTGCAGGAGACGGTGGCCAAGGAGGAGGGTGAGGCCGTGATATTTCTAGAGCTTGTTGTATGCGTTTTACAATGGGCTTTGCTACTAGTGTGTGTGTATGTGTATTGTGTGTGTGTGTGTGTGTGTGTGTGTATTCCACCTTGACTCTCAGTGAGAAAGGTGGACTATAAGTATATTTTTGTTTACTGATGGCCCACCTTCCTGACTGCGACTCAAGGCGGACCGTGCGGAGTGAGTTAAGAGCAACCAATAGGATGGGACGTCCACTAATAGCCATGCAACGGGATTAGGACGGCAGAAACCTGAAACCAAACAGAAACTGGAAACTGAACAGAAACAAAGGATAAATATTAATACGACACGCTAAACGATGCAATGACATGTTAGCCCTCTCCTTTCTAAACTTAAAAAGCCCCAGACTTTTCCTCCTTTCCTCCTAGGGAAGTTCGACCTATTAACCACCTCGGTTGTCCTCTTTATTACTTTCCATGAAGATGCTTCCGGAGGGCAAGCCAGTCGGTCTGCAGTGGAGCAGCCGGGTGCAAGTCCAGGAGCCCCCGAGAGGCCGGCAAGAGTGTCTGGGACATGCTGACTTGTCTCTGACGAAGGGAGCTCCTCCGCCGAAAATCTTGTCAGACTAAGGTGCTGACCAAGGCTCTAAGGTGCTGACTAAGGCTCCCTCCAAGCTGTGGAGTCTTGTGTGCAAAAATTCTACATTGTGCGCTGCTGGCATTAAAGTTGTGAGCAGGCGATCTGGCGACTGCATAAATTAGTTGTTCTGGAGCCCTCCTCCCTGAACTGAGACAAAAATGTGTGAGCTGGAGGCTAAAAAACTGTGAGCTAGCTCACACTAAACTCAGCTTAGAGGGAACACCGGGACTGGCCTCATAACCAGCCGCACTTTGGAGCTATTCCTGTGAACTTGGGCTGCCCCTCCCAGTCGAACCAGGCCTCCCTTCAGGCCACCCTCTCTCTCCCCCCTCCCACCCCGCCAAACGGGCCTGACCCCCTCCGGGAAGGAAGAGGCGCCCGGGCACACAGCCTCCCCTGCGGCCACTCACCCTCCGTGATCTCCTGCTCATAGTGGCTCGGCCGGCGCTTGAGGCGGTTGCTGGGGAAGAGGCCGAAAGTCCCGGAGCTGCCGATGTAGATGCTGGGAGGAGAAGAGGAGAGGAGAGATCAGGGGCCGTGGCGAAGCAGCCACTCGATGCCTGCAAAGGACTGCTGCCTGTTGGCTCCCTCTAACCTGCTCCTGACAAACAGACCAAGGTTGCTTCCACACTGGCCTTCGGTCCAGCTTCACTGCTGAGGGAAACCTGGTCCCCCCGTCTCCGTAGCACTACATGGGCACCTGCTGTTTCTGGCCACTGTGTGACACAGAGTGTTGGACTGGATGGGCCACTGGCCTGATCCAACGTTGGCTTCTCTTATGTTCTTATTCGAGGGAACTGGATAAACATCTGGAGCAGAGGTCCATTAGTGGCTATGAGCCACAAGGTATAGATAGGAACTCTCGGTCTGGGGCAAGGGATGCTCTGTCTTCTTGGTGCTTGGGGGGGGGCAACAGTGGGAGGGCTTCTGGTGTCCTGGCCCCACTGCTGGATCTCCTGATGGCCGCTGGTATTTTTGGCCACTGTGTGACACAGAGCGTTGGACTGGAGGGGCCATTGGCCATTGGCCTGATCCAGCATTGGCTTCTATTATGTTATGGTGCAGTGGTTAAGTGCACGGACTCTAATCTGGGAGAACCGGGTTTGATTCCCCACTCCTCCTCCACTTGCAGCTGCTGGCTGACCTTGGGCAAGCCGTAGTTCTGACAAGGGCTGTCCTTGAAAAAGAGCACTTTCCGTCAGAGCTCTCTCAACCCCGCCTACCTCACAGGGTGTCTGGAGCCATCCTGCCTGAGCTGAGACAGAAATGTGTGAGCTGGAGACTCTGTGAGCTGGGTCACACTAACTCAGCCCTACGAGAAAAGGCTAAGGGCCTTGGGAATGTTTAGTTTGGAGAAGAGGAGACTGAGAGGGGACACAATTGCTCTCTTGAAGTATTTGAAAGGCTGTCATTGGGAGGAGGGCAAGGAGCTGTTCCAGTTGGCAGCAGAGGACAGGACCCAAAGCAATGGGTTTAAAGTCCATGCAGAAAGGTATCGGCAAGGGTCATTTCGTAGAAAAAGAGGTGCAGGAGCTCATTAGCATAGCTCATTAGCATAACTTATTTGCATATGCCACAACCCCTGACCTCACCGGGAGTGTGTCAGAAGGCAACACCCACCGCTCAGGCTCCACTGGACTGTTCTGGATTGCTAGCTATTGGGGGGGGGGGGAAACGTGCAGATCTGTCCTCACAGAGGAGGGAGAGCTTGTGCCCAAATAAGACTTGGTCTTAAAGGTGCCACGGGACTGTTTCGGGCCGAGGGGGGCTCTGCAACTTACCTGGCTGCTTCTTGCTCTGACTGAGGGCTGCTGGGAGCAGGGGGCGGGGCTTGTGCCCACCCCCTGGGCTCTTTACTGCCGGAGCTCTGCCCCTGTGCGCTCCTGCAGGAGATTACCCCTGGGTATCGGCTGGATGTTAGGAATGCAGCAGAGGACAGGGCCCAAAGCCACGGGTTCAAGTGACATGCAGAAAGGGTATCGGCTGGATATTAGGCAACACTTTTCCACGGTCACAGAGTGGTTCAGAGGTGGAATCAGCTGCCCAGGGAGGTGGGTGAGCTCCCCTTCACTGGCAGCTTTCAAGAAGAGGCTAGACGAATATTTGCCAGAGATGCTTTAGGCTGGTCCTGCATTGGGCAGGGGGTTGGACTGGATGATCTGTATGGCACCTTCCAATTCTGTGATTCTATGATTCTTAGAGGGAACACTGGTTGCAACTTGCCATAGGTCCGTTGCAGCTCGACAGCACCTTCCGCTACCATAAGTGAATCAAAAGCCCTCTAACAAGGCAGCCAATCTGGCCGCCATACAGCCACCGGTAGCCACCGAGTTAAGAACATAAGGACATAAGAGAAGCCAATTGTTGGATCAGGCCAAAGGCCCATCCAGTCCAACACTCCGTGTCACACAGTGGCCAGAAACACCAGGGGCCCTCAGGAGGTCCAGCAGTGGGGCCAGATGACACTAGAAGCCCTCCCATTGTTGCCCCCCCCAAGCACCAAGATGACAGAGCATCCCTTGCCCCAGAGTCCCTATCTATACCTTGTGACTAAGAGCCACTGATGGACCTCTGCTCCATATGCTTATCCAATTCCCCCTTATAAGAACATAAGAGAAGCCAATGTTGGATCAGGCCAATGGCCCATCCAGTCCAACACTCTGTGTCACACAGTGGCCAAAAATACGAGGTGCCATCAGGTGGTCCAGCAGTGGGGCCAGGACACTAGAAGCCCCTCCCACTGTTGCCCCCCCCCAAGCACCAAGAAGACAGAGCATCCCTTGCCCCAGAGCCCCTATCTATACCTTGTGGCTAATAGCCACTGATGGACCTCTGCTCCAGATGCTTATCTAATTCCCTTTTGAAGCCGCCCATGCTTGTTCCTCCACACTCCCACCCGTGATGCCCAGCGATCCCCCCGCCTGACTTACCTGTTGAGGAAGGGGTGGGGCTGGTACGGCGGGGGCAGGAGCGGGCTCCTGGCTCCAGCGAGAGGCAGAGGGGGCGGCGGGGGGCCGTGGGGCAGGGCGGAGAGCTGCAGGAGGCTGGGGATGGGGTGCAGGGCGGTGAGCTGGGTGGTGGGGACCTCCGGGTGGGCGGGGGGCTTGCTGTGGCCCAGGCTGATGACCGGGATGCTGTGGGGCATCGGGGCCGTGGGGGGCTCGGGGAAAGGGCTCCCCCGGGTCTGGGGAGAGGAGGAGGTGGGGCTGGCGGGGGGCGGGCTGGCCTCTGCCGCATCCTCCCCACTGACTGGAGAAAGGGTGGGAGGCGTGGAGGCAGAGGGGGGAGGGCTTGGCTCCTCCGGGGCAGCAGGGGGCGACGGGGGGCTCTTCCGCTTCTCCATCATTTCCCCTCTGCTCCTCATCTGCGGGTAGAAAGGAAGAGGTGAGTCTGGTGCCGTATCGGCAGCCTGGATTGATCCACATACCTGAGGGACTGCCTTCCCCCGCCCCCTTGCATGTGTTCCCCAGAGAGCACTGCGTTCAGGGTCTCAAAACTGTCTAGCTCTCCTGGGGCCCAAAGAGGCCAAGTTGGCTTCGGCCAGGGCCTTTTTGGTGGCGGCTCCGCACTAGCGGAATGAGCTCCCAGAGGACACCAGGGCCCTGCGGGACCTTTTGCAGTTCCCTTTACAGATGGAGCTTTTCCGCCAGGCCTTTGATTAAAGAGCCGTATCGTGGGACCCCTGTGCCCGGGCATGACCATCACAGCCTGTGTGCATCGCTAGTGTGAAGGCACCAAGATAGTTCTGCACCAGTGTTCCCTCTAAGCTGAGTTAGTGTGAGCTAGCTCACAGTTTCTTAGCCTCCGGCTCACACATTTTCATCTTAGCTCAGGAAGGAGGGCTCCAGAGCAAACTCATTTATGCTGCAGCCAAATGGCTCGCTCACAACTTTTAAGGCAGATAGCTCACAGAGTAGAATTTTTGCTCGCAGGACTCCACATCTTAGAGGGAACATTGTTCTGCACCAATGCTGATTGTACCCCGTTAAGATCGATCTGCTATTCAGATGATTTGTTATTCAGTCTCGCCATAACTACGGCCCAATCTGCATCTAGCATTCGCTCCGCTGTATTGCCGAACCCACGCTGGAACAGAAATCCCCCTCTGCACTGGCACGCCACTTTCCCTTTGACCGATTGTCCGATTTTATGGCTGTGTTCAGACTGCATGCAGCTTTCACTACGTTTGACCTCTCCGCCTGCATAGATTTATGGCCGTTCCGGGGTGACTCAGCAGTCAGTACGGCGTTGGCCCCCAGGGGGTATCTGAATGTGGTTTTGAGCCGCATCTTCTTCTGTTCCAGTGTGGGTTTGGTAGAACAGGGGAGCGAAGGCTAGATGCAGATTGGGCCTCTATAACATTGCACGCTAGCACTTTATGATTGGTTTTATAAATGTATTGGTTTAGCTGTTTTAAATTTTTACGTAAGCCGCCCTGGGCCTGCCTTGGTGGCAATGTTCCCTCTAAGCTGTGGAGTCTTGTGTGCAAAAATTCTACTTTGTGAGCAACTGGCATTAAAGCTGTGAGCCAGTGATTTGGCTACTGCATAAATTAGTTTGCTCTGGAGCCATCCTTCCTGAGCTAAGACAAAAATCTGTGAGCTGGAGGCTAAAAAACTTTGAGCTAGCTCACACTAACTTAGCTTAGAGGGAACACTGCTTGGTGGGGAGGCTGGGATATAGATTGAGTAAATAAATAAAGTCCACAGAACCACCTTCCAGGCTGGGCCGCGGGGGAGACCAGAGCAGAGCTTAGTCACTGGCAATCAGGGGGTCCCATGAGAGAGCATCACCTGCCCCCCTCCAAGGCTCAGACCCTCTGTGAGCATCCCTCAGAAGCCCTTCCCAACCGACAGTGGTGGAGTCTGCATTGGTACTTTCCACTGCTTCGGCTACACTCTCCCTCCGCCTCCTGAAAAGATGTCCACGTCTCTTTAGGTTTCGCTCTCCTACTGCACTGTTGTCATTTCTGCTGTCTGCATTGTTTTATTGCCCTGTGGTTTCGGCTCAGTCATGACTATGGCTTCTCTCCGGCTCAAATGGATGTGCTTAAAAGCACTCTAAGCCCCCCACCCCCCAAAAAAGCGCTAATCGGAGGCTTATCTGCTCTGTTTACCTTCTGACGGCACATAGAGGGAGGTACGAAACTTTTCCCTTGCTTGACAAGCTAAAAGTGAATGATTGGATCTTGTTTTGTGATTTTTATATTTTATTTTATTTATTTATTTATTCAGGTATTTTTACCCCGCCCTACCCCGCGAGCGGGCTGAAAAGGTAAAGAAAGATCCCTTCTACATACATACATACAGCTAGTTTGGTGTAGTGGTTAAGTGTGCTGACTCTAATCTGGGAGAACCGGGTTTGATTCCCCACTCCTCCACTTGCACCTGGCTGGATGACCTTGGGTCAGTCACAAGCTCTGGCACAGCTGTCCTTGAAAAAGAGCGGGTTCTGTCAGAGCTCTCTCAGCCCCACCCACCTCACAGGGTGTCTGTTGTGGGGAGGGGAAGGGAAAGGAGTTTGTAAGCCGCTCTGAGACTCCGAGTGAAGGGCGGGGGATAAATCCAATCTCTTCTCTTCCTCTTCTCTTCTTACATTCTGCAAACTAAACACCCACCAGTCTTTACAGTTTTTTTGGCTATTTTGGCTATTTTTGCTTTCTTGTTTAAACCAAAAGCTGGGCAAAACTGAACATCCTTCTCTTTGAATGTAAAGAGAAGTTTATAGCTTGTTGGCTTGTTCCCTTAAGTAAGTTATTGCCTCGTGTAAAGCTAATGGGTGCCGGCAAACGCCGGGCCATGCTAGAGAAGAGGGAGGAGAACGACAACATTCCCGGCCAGCAAGCAGGGGAAAAAATAGCACATTTTTTTCCGTACCACTTTGAAAAAAGCATCACACCAGACGGCATCGAGACTGCTTTAAAAATGAAATGCAGATTCGGCCACATTCCCAAGCAAGACAGCGGGCAGGAACTGCTGACAGCGTGGAGAGGGGATGTGACTAAAATTTGCACACGTAGCATTCGCTGCTGCAGCACACTGGCCTACAAAGTTGCCTTCCGCATGCGTGCGCACACGGTCTGCAGCTCAGAGTCCCGTTCCGTGACCCTTGGGCAGCAGTGCTAAAGAGACGTCCCTGGGAGGGAGACCCACCGAATAGAGCGCAACTGGCGTCCTTCTCCTCACAGAAGCGCCGCCGGATTCCCTGCCTCTCTGACTTCCCACGGACTGTGGCTGCCTGCCACCAGGGTCACGCCAGGTCCCATTCAGTTAGGCTTGCCAGCCTGCAGGTGGGGCCTGGATATCTCCCAGCATTCCATCTGGTCACCAGACGGCAGAAATCAGCTCCCCTGGAGGAAATGGCAACGTTGGGGGGGGGGGGGGGACTCTGTGGCATTAGACCCAACTTTTCCTCATCTGATCACTATAATATCTTCCTTTACCAACTATAGGAAGCCAGCCCGTCTAGCCTAGACCTTCCCGAAAAGATCTGAAACAAGCTGTTCTTTCTTAACCTCTCTGTGTTACCTACACACACCCACACACTTCTGAGTAAGTTTGGTGTAGTGGTTAAGTGCGCGGACTCAATCTGGGAGGACCGGGTTTGATTCCCCATTCCTCCACTTGCAGCTGCTGGATGACTTCGGCAAGCCATAGTTCTGTCAGAGCTGTTCTTGAAAAAGAGCCGTTTCTGTCAAGAGCTCTCTCAGCCCCACTTACCTCGCAGGGTGTCTGTTCTGGGGAGGGGAAGGGAAAGGAGTTTGTAAACTGCTCTGAGACTCCCTTGGGTAGTGAAGGGTGGGATATAAATCCAATCTCCTCCTCCTACTACCGTTTGGTGTAGTGGTTAAGTGCGCGGACTCAATCTGGGAGGACCGGGTTTGATTCCCCATTCCTCCACTTGCACCTGCTGGATGACCTTCGGCAAGCCATAGTTCTGTCAGAGCTGTTCTTGAAAAAAGAGCCGTTTCTGTCAAGAGCTCTCTCAGCCCCACCGACCTCCCAGGGTGTCTGTTGTGGGGAGGGGAAGGGAAAGGAGTTTGTAAGCTGCTCTGAGACTCCCTTGGGTAGTGAAGGGTGGGATATAAATCCAATCTCCTACTACTACTACCGTTTGGTGTAGTGGTTAAGTGCGCGGACTCTAATCTGGGAGAGCCGGGTTTGATTCCCCACTCCTCCATTTGCACCTGCTGGATGACCTTGGGCAAGCCGTAGTTCTGACAAGAGCTGTCCTTGAAAGAGAGCCGTTTCTGTCAAGAGCTCTCTCAGCCCCGCCTACCTCACAGGGTGTCTGTTGTGGGGAGGGGAAGGGAAAGGAGTTTGTCAGCCGCTCTGAGACTCCTCTGGGTAGTGAAGGGCCATGGGGTAGAAATCCAATCTCCTCTTCTTCTACTAGATCTGCTTTGGGCTGACCTCAAAATAGGGTTACTTACTCCAGGTTGGGAGATACCTGGAGATTTGAGGGGTGGAACCTGGGGAGGGACCTCAGCGGGCCATAATGCCATGAAGACCACCCTCCAAAGCAGCTGTTTTCTCCCAGGGACCCACTGAGCTCTCTTGTCTGAAGATCAGTTGTAATTCCGGGGAAACGCCAGGCCCCACCTGGAGGCTGGCAACTGTACCTCAAAAAGCCTACATACACATGGGAGAAAATCCTCAGGCCTGGCTATTTCACAGCACGCATGCAGGAGAGCGTTCACTCAGGATTACTCATGAACAACGCTCCCTCTAAGCTGTGGAGTCTTGTGAGCAAAAATCCTACTTTGTGAGCTACTAGCATTGTGAGGGAGCGATTTGGCTGCTGCATAACTTAAGTTTGCTCTGTGTGAACCGGAGGCTAAAAAACTCTGGGCTAGTTCACACCAGGGGTCATTTCCTACAGGAGCGGAGCTCCGGCAGTAAAGAGCCCAGGGGGCAGGCACATGCTACAAGCCCCACCTCCTGCTCCCAGCAGCCCTCAGTCAGAGCAAGAAGCACCCAGGTACGTTGCAGAGCCCGCCCCCCCCCATCCAAAACAGTCCAGTGGCACCTTTAAGACCAAGTTTTATTCAGGTAGAAGCTCTCCCTCCTCTATGAGGACAGATCTGCATGTCCCCCCCCCCAATAGCTAGCAATCCAAAACAATCCAGTGGCACCTTTAAGACCAAGTTTTGCTCAGGCACAAGCTCTCCCCCCTCGGCGAGGACAGATCTGCATGTCCCCCCCCCCAATAGCTAGCAATCCAAAACAGTCCAGTGGCACCTTTGAGACCAAGTTTTATTCAGGTACAAGCTCTCCCCCCTCGGCGAGGACAGATCTGCATGTCCCCCCCCCAATAGCTAGCCATCCAAAACAGTCCAGTGGCACCTTTAAGACCAAGTTTTAT